GGGGCTCGATCCCAGGACCCTGGGATCATGACCTGAGCCGAAGGCAGACGCTTAACGACTGAGCCACCCAGGCGCCCCTCTTTTTTTTTTTTTTTAAGATTTATTTATTTGAGAGACAGCAAGAGAGAGAGTGTGAACAAGGGGACAGAGAGGAGGAGGGGGAAGCAGACTCCCCACTGAGCGTGTAGCATGGAGCCCAATGCAGGGCTGAATGAGGGGCTTGATGCGGGACCCGATCCCAGGACCCTGAAATCATGACCTGAGCCAAAGTCAGACGCTCAACTGACTGAGCCACCCAGGCACCCCTCTTTTCTTTTTACTGTCTCTCCATGAGAAGAAGAACATTAGCCGAACCTAGTGTGGTGATGATTCCACAATAGATATGTCAGACCATCATGCTGTACATCTTAAATTACACAGTGATGTACGTCAATTACTTCTCAGTAGAAGTGGTAAAAAAGATAAGAAAGAACTTTCCAAGAAAAATTCTTTCTCGAAAGTACATAACACATGGTGGTGATGCCTACACACAACAACTCTGAGTTTACTTGACACCACTGAACTTCACACCTAGAAATGGTTCTGATGGTAACTTTTATGTGTATTTTGCCCCAATTAAGAAAAACTCCTCAACACCCAGAGAGTGACATTAAAACCTCCCTAAATACTTGGAGAGTGACCCCATGTGGACATGTCAGAAAACTCAGTATTGCAAAGATACCCCCCAATTGTTGGTTATAGGGTAACAATCAAGTTCCCATTGTTGATTTTTTTCCCCCTTGGAACTTGACAAGCTGACTCTGGTCCAAGAGGAACGAGACAGGGAGCCTTGCTCACCACACATCAAGACTTCCTTTAATGCTCAAGTCCTAAAGGCAACATCTCAGACCCAGGGCTGGACGGAAGATCCACAGAACCGACCTGAGCGCCCAGAGACACACACGCCCAGGGGAGGCATGGGGGGGCCAGGCCATCAGTGGGATGCTGGCTAACTGGGGAGGTCCCCCAAAAGAACGCACTCGGCAGCTTTAGTCATCAAAACCGAAAGCCAGAAACAGCCTGCTGTCCATGGGCAGGGAAGACGGATACAGCAATTGTGGTGTATTCCCACAAAGGAAGATAGCGTCATAGCAAAATTGGATGAAGCATCACTACCTCTATGGCTGAACCTGAGAAATCGTGTTGAGCGAGGAGAGCAAGTCACAGATGACACACGGCATGGTTCCGCTGCATAAAGCTCGAGAACAAGTAAAACTAAAAAATGTATTGTTTAGGGATGCATACCAATGTGATTTGAAAAAACGGTTAAAAATGTGAGGGAATGAGAACTGTCAAGTGAGGGGTGATGGAGAATTCTGGAAGGGAAGTGGGGTGGGGCGGGGGAGGGGCCCAAGGTAGTCACAGGGGTACTCACGAGGGATGTGCTGGTTCTCAAACTGGGTGGGGGGGCTATGGGGCTCACTTTATTGTTATGCTTTATAACTCAAGTCTATGATGCAGACACTTTTTAGTATGTATCAATTATCATGTAATAAAAATGGGAAAGGAAGAGAACGGTGCCCAATCCTAAGCCATGGAGAATACCAGTTTCTACAGACCAGGGAACGGAGAGGGTTGTGCAGAAAAAGATGAGCTGGTGCTGCCAATGAGGTAGGAGGAGAGCCAGAAACTGGGGCATCCCAGAGGCAGAGAGAACCTCCCGGAAGGACGAGGGGTCTCCTGGGTTGTAGCTTCTAAGAGCAGGGCAGGAAGAAGAGGACTGGAAAACATCCCAGATTTGGTCCCTTGGGGGTGACCCCTGGGCTTGGAGGAGCGGTTCTGGGGGAATAGTGGGGACGGACAGAAGCTACATTGTGGCTGGCTGCCGACCAACAGGAGAGATGGACCAGCGGAGACCACCAGGTGGTCGAGAGGGAAAGGCAGGACGGCTGACTTCAGTCTCCGCTGTGGTGTGGGCGCCCCACCCCCACTCCATCTCTTCTCTCAGGAACAGCTGGTCAGAGGGGAACACGACTCCGGCTGGACATGCAATTCTGGCCACAAGGTTGTGACTCTGATCCAGCCAGAACTCCCAGTGGGAGGGGAGGGCCTGGTCTCTTGTCCTTACCCTGGAAGTCCGGACCCTGTGTGGGGACAGAAGGAGGAGAAAACCAGAAGGTATGGATGTTGGGGTGCCTGGGAAGGGCCCTGGGGTCTGGGCCTGGCCCGTAAGGGTCTGGGTCTCTTCCACAAGCCAGGAGAAACCCTCTCTGGGTCCCACAGGTCCTCCTTCCCTATTCGCTGGGCAGGCGGGCATCAAGCAGCCCTTTCTGTGTTCTGCTGTGTGGACAGACAGACACCGGTTTGATGTCCCCAGACCCAGGTGGCTCGTCATATCACAGCCACAGTGCAAGAACTGGCCTGGCTTCCTCCCAGCCGGCCACCCTCCCTTTGTTTGCTCTGGGAGGGGCAATTGCCAAGCAAACAGGGAAGGGAAATCCCGGATTCTGTCTCCTCACCGTTTCCTAGGCCCCGACGCCTCTGGCTCCCTCCGGGCCTCGCGTGTGTGTGGAAGAGAGCTAGGGTCGCCCGTGTATAGAAAACCCAGGCCTTGGCCTCGGCGAATGCTCAGACAAAATAAACCCCAACCCAGGGGCATGGACCCCACATATCAGAGCTCTCTGATGCCGCCCAGCCACCAGAGGACGTGGGCATCAGGATTTCCAGTTTCCAGAAGAGGAAACTGAGGCTCAGGGTCACAAAGAGAGGACCCTGACAGAGGTGGGAATCCCACCCAGACCTCGCCGACCCTCAGCTCGGCTGTCTTCTTAGGCGAACAGTGGGGGAGTGGTGAGAGGCAGGCTTGAACAGGGGCTCCCCCCTTCACCTCTCTTTTTTCTCCCCCAGAGACTGCACCATTATCCAAGGCCCCCAACCGGGCCGTCGGAGCCCCCCCTCCCATGGCCGAGCTCCTGCCCCAGCTGCCTTGGCCCCCACTGGCCGAAGGTGGTGCCCAGGTTGCATCAGTGCCCCAAGCCAAGTGGCGGAGCCAGCAGCCACAAGGTGGCGGGGCAGAGGGCCCAGCCCCTGAGCCCTGGAGGCTCCTGGAGGTGCCCTCCATTTACATCACACCATCCAGTGATGGAGAATCACCCCCTTGCACCCCGACTCCCCTGCGCCTGCAGCTGCCGAGGACCCCAGACCTGGAGAGTATATCCCAGGACAGGTCAGCCGGGTGTTGGGACACAAAAGAGGTGCTCTCTCTCTCTCTCTCTCTCTAGGGATTCATGCTCGAGGGGGGCTGACACTGTCCCGGTGCGGGAGCTGAAGGTCAGCTGGAGTGTGACCTTAGCCCCACATGGGACCTGACTGGAGGTTGTGAAAGAGGCACATAAACAGAAAGAGGCAACTGGGAGCATGTGCTGGGACAAGTGCCTCTGAGCTCTCCGCTCTCCGCTGAGCACTGCCCGCTAAGGGGGGAGGGGGATACCCCCTTTGGCACACCCAGTGTTTTTCAAACTGTGGATCGTGACCATTTAAGGGCCATGAAACCAAGGTAGTGTGTTGCGATCAGCGCTTTTTCCAAACAGAAATAGGATAGAATTGAAAATACAGTGTATGAGGTAGTAAGGGTGGTTTCCCGCAAATTTTGTGACATTACGTATATTTCTATATATTACATATATTTCTTGCACTGGAAGCCAGTGTAAAAGGTATGTCTTGCTACAACTCGTGGGGGGTGGGGGGAGAAAGAAAGAAAGAAAAGAAAAGAAAAAAGAAATGTAAACAAAACTTCTGCAAAGAAACTCCACCTCTGGCACGAGGAGACGGGAACTGAAGGTTCAAGGCTGCCTGGGGAAAGAAGAAAGAACTATACCAGCACTGAATAGAAATAGCCACTGTGGTTTCTTCTAATAATGGATGCTAGATAAGAGTTAAGGTTTCTGAACTAGAGCTCTGTGTATCAGCGTGGAGAAGTCGCAGAAACAGTGATGATGGAGAAAGCAAGTTGCAAAATGATACAGTGGGAGCCTAGTTGTGTATCTTTTAAAAGGCATTGAACAATAGGGTATATTGTTGGTGGATCCATCCCGATATAAAAAAAAAGGATGGGAAGGTGCACAGAAGGAGCACACACCAGCTTCAGGGTGGTCGGTCCCTTGGGTGCAGGAGCAGAGAAAGGAGGGATGGGGAGTTGGGCCTTTGGCTGTGCCTGTAAAAGTTTATTTCTTTTTAAAAAGAAAGAAAAGATCTGAAACAAAAATGGCAAAATGTCCACATCTATTGGATATGGACGGTGGGGATGGCCTTTTTATTTTTTATTTTTTCCTCTTTGAAATAAATATTCCCTAAATAAAATTTTAGAAGTACTTCAAAAGAAGAAACAGGCAAAGAGAAATACAGTTGACCCTTGAGCGGTGTGGGGGTCAGGAGGCACTGACCCACCGTGCAGTGAAAAATCCAAGTGTAACTTTTGACTCCCCCAAAACTTAGCTACTAATAGCCTACTGTTGGCCAGAAAGCTTACCTAGAATAGAAACCATCAATAACACATATTTTGTATGTTATCTGTATTATACACTGTGTTCTTACAATAAAATAAGCTAGAGAAAAGAAAATGTTTCTAAGAAAATCATAAGGAAGGCAAAATACATGTACAGTACTGTACTGTAAAAAATCCATGTATAAATGGACCCACACAGTTCAAACCCATGTTCAAGGGTCATCTGTACAGAGAAAGAGAACAGTGAGACAGAGGGAGATGGTGGAAGGAGGGCCTCTTTAAGACCTGAGAGAACTTCTATGTAGAGGGAACCGCAAGTGCAAAGGCCCTGGGGCAGGGATGTGTCTGGTGAGTTAGAGGAACAGCAGGGAAGCTGGGTGGTCCAAGGGAATGAAAAAAGGGGAAGAAGGAGGAGGCAAAGTCAGAATGGTGACAAGGGCCACACTCGGGCCTTGGGCACCAAGTAGGTGAGGACTTTGCTTTTATCTGGAATGAGGTGGAGCCAAAGGAGGGCTCTGAGCCAGGAGGGCCCTGACCTAACTCAGGGTTCATAGGTTCTCTCTGGCTACAGGTGGGGAGCAGACTATAGGAGGCCGGATAGGAGCAGCCAAGTGGTTGCTGTGGTGTCCAGGACAGGGGCAGTGGGAGCCAAGAGTTTACATTCTGGAGAGATTTTATGCAGTGGAGTGGACAGGGATGGCTGAGAAATTGGATGTGGCTGTGAGGGAAAGAGAGGGGCCAGGAAAGATGAAGTTTTGGGCCTGTCAGCCACCAAAATGGAGAAGTAGAGTGGGTGGGGAGCAAGGCCCTGTGCTGGGGTACCTCCGGCCAATAGCTGTGAGGCGGGACTCACATTTCCGTGTTTTCATGCAGGCAGCCCCTGCAGGGCGGCGCGCAGGTTACCGTGTCAGAGCAGGGCTGTGTCCAGCTCTGCAGCCTACCCCCGGCGTGACCTGGGCCAAGTCACTGCCCGTCTTTGAGGCCGGGCTTCCCCACCTGTAAAAGGGCTGCTGTCCCCCCGCCCGCCGCAGCCCCCCCCCCCCACCCGCGCTGTCCCGTGGGAAAGCCCCTTACCACAGAGTTGGTGAGATCTCCAGGACTGGGGTGACTTGCCCAAGGTCACAGCACAGCTAAGAGCCAGGGAGGCTGGATTTTAACTTGGTCTGGCTAACGGGGACTGGGGCGGAGAGGGGTCCCCAGACCCCGAGGACCTCCTGGGCCAACACTGGGAGGTGTGGAAACGCACGGGAAGACGGAGGCGGCCTCCGGGCCGCACCCCTTCCCGCCAGCTGCGGTTCCCCTGTGCTCGCAGCCCCCACCCCTCCGCTTCCCAGAATCTCCATCCCACCGCCCCCCGCCAGCCCCTCCAGCTCCGTCCCACCTCTCAGGTTCCTTCCCGGCCAGGGGCAGAAGGGGAGCTGAAGACTCTTTCCGGGTACCAGGGGAGAGGGTCGTGGCCGGTGCCAAAGGCAGCTGCCATGGCGGTGTTTCGTTTGAATCGAGTCTGTTTGTCTTTCTGTCCTTCCTTCTCTGCTCACTTCTCTGCCTCCTTCGATTCTCAGTGTCTGTCTCTCTTTTCCTCTCTCCTGTTTCGGTAGCTCCGGCGTCCCGGCCGCCCCTCTCGGTTCCTCGGCTCGCTCGCCCTCCCCCTGCGCCCCCGTGCCTGCGTCTCTAACTCTCGCTCGCGGCGGCTCTCCCGCGGGCCGGGCCGCCCCCACCTCCCCGCCGCGGTGCCGGTCGGCGC